GCAGGAATGTCCAGAAAATCAGGAAAATTACTGGCCATGCCAAGCTCACCTGTGAAGTGAAACCTGTCGATTACGATAAAGGACTACAATTTCACAGTCCCCCTCCCCCAACCCAAAAAAGAAAATTTTTAATTATACATCATTACTGTTCACAGCAAAGGCTGAGATCTGACAGCTCTTGAGGTTTAACACTGCAAAAACTACAAAATAAAGTCATTAGGATTCACTTACCTTGATTGGCCGATGTATGTCTGGTTCTTTAATGCGAAGCACAATCTGTCCAGCAACAGAGACCCCATAAAACAGGTAGTTTATGAAGCCAACATAGTTGATGAGGGTGTATATGTCACTGGTGCACAACATCAGCAGAGTTGATATACACTATCAAACAAAGCAGTATTTGATTTGAATATAAGCACCTACCAACACATTGTATACCATTTACAAAAAAAGATTTTTTGATTATTTAAAGGAATAGTTCACACAAAAATGACAATTTGAGTAAAAATGTACTCCGCCTCAGGCCATCCATGATGTAGATGAGTTTGTTTCTTCGTCAGAACAGATTCTGAGAAATTTAGCATTACATCACTTGCTCACCAGTGGATCAACTGCAGTGAATGGGTGCCGTCAGAATGAGAGTCCAAACAGCTGATCAAAACATCATAATAATGCACAAGTAATCCGCATGACACATGTGAGAAACAAATCATTCAGGTATTTTAACTTTAAACCGTAGACTACGGCCAATACACCAGTCTATGATCCATAATAATGCTTTCTCCAGTGAAAAATTTTTTACAATGAAGCTAAAAATGTCTTGATGAATTTGTTTATTACAGACAGGCAGCTTTTTGCTTCACAAGATGTTAACTGATGGACTGGAGTCGTGTGGATTACATGTGCATTACTCTGTTTTTATCAGCTGTTTGGACTTTCATTCTGACGGTACCCATTCACTGCAGAGGATCCATTGGTAAGCCAGTTATGTAATATGAAATTTCTCCAAATTTGTTCTTATGAAAAAAAAAAAAATCATCTATATTTAGATGGCCTGAGGGTGAGTAAAATTTCAGCAAATTTCATTTTTGGGCCAACTATTCCTTTAAGGAATGAAAGAAAGATCTCACAGTGAAAAGCAAAGCTGGGATGGGTGTACAGCGGTTCACATGAATCATTGCCAACAGACGGGGAAGATGCCCTTCCCTCGCACCTGCAAAGAATAACCTGAGAAAGAACAACTGTCAATTAACCTGATGATACAAAGAAATCCATTGACATTAAAATGTAATGCAAACTGAATGAGTAATTAAGCAATAACATGGCATAAAGACTGACCTAGATGACGTGAAAAGGGAACCATTAAGCCCTCCGAAGGTGGACAGAGCCACAGAGATGGGCATGATCAACGACATCACCCCGAGCAGCTTTTCACCAAATGTCTGATGGAGATTAAAGAGAAAAAGAAGGCAAAGTTTATACAGGTAAGCAGACATTCAGCAAAAACGTCAGATGGGTCAGTCCGATCTACTGATGAATAGGCTGTTTAATTTCCTGATGAAGGAAGAACTCATTAAGCTTCTTAATGTAAGCAGGGCAACTCACCACAGCAACAGCATTGGAGGCCATCAGTTCCTGAGGGCTTATAGCTGTAACATATGCAATATTCGCACATACATAGACGAAAGTGACTAGAGGGATTGAGATGAAGATTGCACGAGGCAGGTTCCTGTAAAGAGAGAACCTGGGCTGAATCTCGATTGTTAGTCTTGGGCAAACCTGTACTGCCCAGATCGGGAATACTTTGGTATTTAAAATGATAACATTTATAGAATTTACAGCACCCCAGTAGTTGTACATAAATGATCGTTATACATAAATGATCTACTAACTTCTGCATATTCTCAGAAAAACAAAATGTTTGCCATTCACTTTTTTGTCTCAGATGTTTCTCAGGAGAAATAAAAACAGATACAAATGACTGATATACAATAAAAGCGAATAAAATGAATATGGACAGCATAATAACTTTCATTTTGGAAGAATTTGATGAGAAATATTTATGTAGGAATCTCTGTAGGACTTCTAATTTTTGGTATCTTGATAAACCTGAACAGTTTGATATACTTTTGAAACTCTATAGAGGACATACGCGAGTTTACTCATATGTTACATTTTTTCCTCAGGAGAATAATCTGAATGGAAAATACTTGCCATTCTATTTCAATGCTGTCTAGGAGAAAAACTGAGACATTACAAATACTTTTTTTCCGCAATTAATTTCAGTTGAACCAAGTAACCAGATAAAACAATGTGTATGTGGTTATGGTGTACGTTATACATGACAGTTTACATGACACTGTATTTGTATTTATATTTGTTTTAGGGTTGGGGGAAATAATGTGTTATTTCTGCAATTAAAATTGGATATTTAATGTGTTAAAATCCTTACGTGAAAACCTTACATAAAGATACTGGTAATAAATGTTTATTTGTATTTTTTATTTATTTATTTTAAAATGTTCACATATTTAGCAAGACAATTATTGCATAAAATAATCTCAGAGAAACATCTGGAATAATTTCTCATTAAGATTTTGTTATTTTGTGATGATGACTGTCTCTCACTGTACATTTTCCCTGACAAATGGCAGTGTACCTGTAGGGGTCAATGAGCTCTTCTGTTACATAATTAAGAAAGTTCCAGCCTGCATAAGCGAAGGAGCCCTGGAGGAAAGCGAGTGCAATGCGGCTCATGTCATAGGGCTGGAGAGGATGAAATGCATGTTCTGGTTCCAACCAATAAAAATGACCTGGAGACACAGAACAGAGAAGCATTTTATGTGCTACGCCTGAATTAATATGTAGAGAGTATCTAAATGAATGGAAAAAGTTGTATTAACTACCGCATAATCAATTTAATTTCTTTTCATTACATTTACTGCAGGAAAGCATAATATGCATTGTAAAGTACTCGTATTTAACCAAAGTATAGTTTCCATTATCAAAACCAATAGTTCTTTCTTTGAGGCTTTTATAAAGAAGACATTAAACGTTCTTTTTTTGTCCTTGGGATATTAAACATATAAAAGCAGCAGCAGACTACAAATAGCCCAGCATGACAGTCGAATTCATATGTGAGCTTGTCTGTGCTTAATTGATTTATGCTCTTTTGTTTATAGTGCAAAAATGTGTCAAATATGAAAAGTATGCCTACGTAATACTCTTAGCTTAATGCCCTCTTATATTCAAGCCCTTTATGTTCACATCTAAAACTGAGTTAAACAAGCCAAACACAGATTTCATTGTTTTCTTGTACTATATCTTTATGGCAGTAGTATAAAAGAATGGTATTATAAGATCTATCTATCTATCTATCTATCTATCTATATGGATATACTGTATATGCTACCATTCAAATGTTTTTTAATACTTTTATTCAGCAAGGATGCAGTATGCAGTAAAGACATGTATAATGTTGCATAAGATTTCTATTTCAAATAAATGCTGTTCTTTTGAACTTTTCATTCATCATAGCTTTCATGAGCTCTCGGAAAAATTGCACATATCTCATATGAAATGCCAGTATTTATATCAGCACATCTTCAAATGTCCACAATTTTATGCTTATAATGCAGAAAAAAATTAAGGCACATGCTCTGGAAATGTCAAGAACAAACATTTTGGAATAAAACATTTGTGCTATTGTCATCAATTTTAAGGAAAAAACTCAACTTGACTGTTTGGTGATTTATGGTGAGGTTGATTTGAAAGAAGGAAAACAGCTTTATTATTTATGACCGCAGCTAAGACATGTAGTTTATATCAAAAATTTGGTAAACAGCAACTGAACAAAAATAATGTTAATAAATAATGAGTTATTGTCATATATGCAATCAAAATAAAAAATAAATAAAAGAGGTGACCTGACAAATCTGTTAAAATATGGAAAACAATATCAGTGAAATATGAGTAAAATAAAAAAAATAAAATAAACAGTGAACTTACAATTAAGTGAAGATGAAAAAAACGATATATACAAATTGTAGTCCGTTTTGTGATTGTAGGTTCAAATTACATGACAAACATTGTAGTTAGTAACGTAATGCATTACATGACATTTACATTTATGCATTTAGCAGACGCTTAAGACGCAATGCTCTACCACTGAGCCACAGGAACACTACACATTAACATATAATAACATTAATACAACATTAATATAACATTACACATTTTAGATAACATAATCAGACTACTTTTTGATTACTTTTACTTTTGACCTAACTAATTTTTCACATTGATTTAAATAGGATAAGCTTGTACCATATTGAAGAAAAAATACAAGAGAAGGAAAATAGATTCCATTCGTTGGTATTAACAACATGAACTGCATTAAACATAACATTACATCAAAGTTTCCCAAACTGGGGTTTTTAAGTGTAATGGAAACCGAACAATTAATTAAATCAGAAAAATATTAAATTAACATAAATCGATTTAAAATAACAACAATCAAAATAAAAGACATACTAAAATAGATGAAATATTTTATTGTTCACCTGCATGTCATGTGACATCAGAGAACTGAGAGCATGCAATGTGACTTAACGTGACTTAATTATTAAATTATTACATTAAAATCTCAGGGGATACTGCAAGTAAATATATTGTGAAAGAGGTTTTGGCTGCCAAAAAAGTTTGAGGATCCCTGTGTTACATGTAAATAAGAAATAATGCATTTGAATGTGTCTGAAAGACAAAAGCCTTCCAAAGACATAGTAATACATGGTTAAATAACCCACTGAGTGATAATTCAAATAAGAAGTGTTTAAATGCTTTGTGGCTTCTCAATTTTCCTGCGTAATTATAGCCACCTGACTAGTGACTGATCTTTGTGTAAATGTCCACAAAACTGGAAGACTTTCTGAATGTATATAAGGGTAGGCTATTTTAGAAAGGAAAACGTAAAAGATGAAACATAAGAATTAGTGAGAATCAATAAATTATGAATAAATTACAATTTATTGCTGTTGTGTGAATAATATGTAATAAAATAATAAAAAGAGTAACTGTAGTATGATCACGAGTATTCTAAATGTAATTTAATCTAATTACAAGTACTTAATTTTTGGAATCTGATTACATAGTCCAGATTGCATGTAATCAGTTACCACCCATGTTCTTGGATAAAACGTTTTTGTCATGGACAATGCAACTTAGCCCCAAAGCATGTTTAAATTGTGAGCATTTACTTACACAGGCAGACGGCGGCGAGCAGACCCAGCGCTCTCTCTGGAGGGAAGCAGGAAGGGAAGAGAGGCTGCAATATGTAATTGGCAAATGTGAGGGCAATCACAGCCTGGTTAGTTGGATAGATCACCAACACTGCAATCCACAGCCTTAGAAACCTATTCAGAAGACAAGTCCTGTCTGTCCTCACATTACATTACATCTAAATAAATGAGTCAGTCTTACCCAGCTAGCCTGCCAAAGATGTCCGTAACATAGGAATAGTCGCCGCCTGACTTTGGGATTGTGACTCCCAGTTCAGCATAGCACAGAGCACTGATGGCAGTGATGACGCCAGTGAGAGTCCACACTATGACAGCCAGACCCACTGAGCTGGAATTTTCCAAAACACCCTTTGGACTTACAAAGATCCCAGACCCAATGATGTTACCTGGGAAAATGACAACAAACAGGCAAGAAGAGTTAATAGAAGGAGCTCATTGATGATTGTGTCTGAAAGCAAGTAAATCCCCACTGCCATGTTTCAGTATTTAAAAGAAAGCCTTGCCAGATAAGTGGAAGCAGTTAGTCCAACTCTCAATTAATGCACAACCCCGCGGTCCAGGGGGATTTCTACTGAGGGACCACTTGCTGAGGGCCCCCAAAACACTAAACACGCCCCTGTGAACAAGCACATGTGGGTTATTGGATGTTCATTGCACAACCATTCAAAAGTTTAGAGTCAGATTTATTGGGATTTATTATCCTTTTATTTTGCAAGAATGCATTCAATTGAAAATTGATGCATTAAAATGTTACAAAACATTTATTTTGTTCTTTTTATATTAATCAAAGGATCCTAAAAAAGTGTAATGGTTTCCACACAATTGTTAAGCAGCACAAATGCTTTGAACATTGATAATAATAAGCACCATATCAGCATATTAGACTGTATTATGAAGGATCATTTGACTGAAGACTGGAGTCATAATTAGCCAGGAATAAATTAAAATAAAAAAAAGTAATTTTATTTCTAATAATGTCTCACAATATTACTGTCTGTGATGTATTTTTGATCAAATAATTGTCTTTAAGAGCATGAGAGACTTCTTTCAACAAAATAAAAAACTCTTACCGACTACAAACTTTTGAACAGTAGTGTATATATATCCTATAAAATTCTTTGTCTCTGTATTTCATCTAACCATACAAGGTCATTCTTAGGTCATCTGAATATTAAATGTTAATCAGAGGATTGAAAAACAGTTGTTGTCAATGTATTAAACATCACTGTTTTGGGGTTTTATCCCAAGCTACAACAGGAACAGACATGACAAGAGGTATGAACAACTATCCAATTCATGACACTTTCAAAAACCTAAACATACAAATGTTTTGACAACACAGATCTTTAACCAACATCCCACTTTTGTGTGTAAAACCTGAGGCCTTAAAACCAAATAATCACGCAAATGATCACACACACACACACACACACACACACTTACTACTGCCAAAACAACAGTACCTGTTAATGGACAACACAGGTAGATAGTGACCCAACCTACTGTAACCCAAACACCTACTGACAGCTAAAATCTCAGGTAACACGCATTAACCCAGCAGTGAGGTAACTGGCACAGACATGTTGGTGAGCTTCTTGCATTCAAGTCTAAATTACATGCCATGTAGTGACCTAGTTTAAGTTTAAACTTGTTACCTAACACCAGACTCCTAGTGATAAATCTCTTCCCTGTTTATAATCCTTACTTGGGCCCTTACCTGTGCTTCAACTCCATGCTGTGTTTGCTCTGCTAGGATGGAGTTAGCATTCATATGCTGTATTTCTCATTTATGTCATTTAAATATATAATATTAAAAAAAATTAATTATGTACTTTATGCACATATCCTATACCCAGTATGATGATCTTTCTTCTGTGGAAGAGGATATTTTGAAAAATGTATTGGTGTTTGAAAAATATTGGACCCCTTTCATTTTTATTGTATGTACAGTTCTTCAAAATATCATGAATATGCATCAACATCTCATTTTATATGAATTCAAGGACACAAATTATAGGCCTGCTTTTTTATCAACTACATGCATTCTTCTACCATATAAAGTGCAAAGAGAATAAAAAGAGGAAAAGTAAAGCATAAAACACAGACTTACCCACAATAATACCACATGCACTGAGGAGTCCGATCTCTTTTTTTAAGGCCACTGCTGGTTGTCTGTCAGTGTCTGTGTCTGGCACCGATGCAGCCCTGCGTCGGGTGCCACTGCCGCTCATTTTAACAGACAGCAGCAACTCTGTGCTTAAGTGTTGATATTGAGAATCTCCGTAACTTTATCCTCCCACCCTAAACTTAAAGTGTTATTCTGATAAACCCGCCCACAGTGCTCTGGTTTAGTCTAGATTAATAGATGAGTGTAACAGAGGCAATATTATGCAAACTACAAAGAGATGTTGTATTTAGTAATTTGGTCTCCCAATGGAATCACAATAGTCTTTCAGCACAAAATCTCAATTTATGGTCAAAATGAATACATTTGGGTCATAATCAGGCAAATAAAATGATTACATTTGAATGTTTGTCCTC